GACGGCAGCCCACCAGGCTCCCCCATCCCTGGGATTTTTCCAGGCAAGAACAGGCCCCCAAATAATTTGATGTAGCAAAACCCAGGAAAATATATTTAGCTATTACAGCATGTCAAACTGAATAGGTCTGAATTCTTAAGTATTTATCTAAAAATTAGTATCATTAATTTCTAGAGATGTCAAGAATATTTATTGCTGTTGGTCTTAATTCATTCTAAGTTCAAAACTGGAAAGTTTTAAAAGCATATCTAAGTTTATAAATCTAAACAGAGGAAATATTCTCTGAGTGACCTGTATAATTAGATTTTTCACACAGAATTAACCAAAGTCTAATGTATTTCAAAGTATCCATTTATATATATTATTTATCAAATATAATATGTATTTGACATATATTTTCTTGGGCTCCAAAATCACTGCAGATGGTGACTGCAGTCATGAAATTAAAAGATGCTTGCTTCCTGAGAGAAAAGCTATGACAAACCTAGAGAGCATATTAAAAAGCAGAGACATTACTTTGCAGACAAAGGTCCGTCTTGTCAAAGCTCTGGTTTTTCCAGTAGTCATGTATAGATATGAGAGTTGGACCATAAAGAAAGTTGAGTGCTTAAGAATTGATGCTTTTAAACTATTGTGCTGGAGAAGATTCTTGTTAGTCCCCTGGACTACAAGGAGATCAAACCAGTCAATCCTAAAGGAAATCAGTCCTGAATATTCATTGGAAGGACTGATGCTGAAGCCCCAATACTTTGGCCACCTGATGCAAAGAACTGACTCCTTAGAAAAGACCCTGATGCTGGGAAAGATTAAAGGCAGGAGGAGAAGGGGACAATAGAGGATGAGATGATTGGATGGCATCACCAACTTGATGGACATGAGTTTGAGCAAGCTCCAGGAGTGGGTGATAGACAGGGAAGCATGGCGTACAGCAGTCCATGGGGTTACAAAGAATCAGACACGACTGAGCGACTGAACTGATATCAAATAAGCTTCTTTGGTTAAAACACAGGACAGTGAAAGAAAAAGCCCAAACTTTTCAGTGAATTTATATATATATATATTAAAAAATACGTCAATTTATCTAACATTACCAGAGTTGGTGCTTTCACACACAGCATTTCCAGGTAACTGAAGTTCTTTAACAAGCCACCTCAAACTGGGAGTGTTTATTTCCTAACCAGAACAAAAATTCCCTTTCACTACAAACGGTAGTAGCTAATTAAAAGAAATCAAAGGGTCCAGAGCATAGATTTCCATACACAGTGAAATCTGTGTTTGGGTTGACTAAATCAAATGGAATACAAAGTCTAGGGAAATTTTTAAGGTGTTAAAAACTATTTAGAAACAAAGTGTAGTGCTTTCAATAGAGTTCAAAATTAGTAATATCAGTAATCTTCAGGGTAAAAGATCATTTCCTTCCTTTTTGTGATTCTAAACTTAAAACTGACATTTCATTACCCTTAACTGTCATAAAGTTTTATATTTCCTTTAGGAGAATAAAATACAAAGGGAACATTACATCCTTGTCTGTTGAGCATTATGTTATAAGGAATGCAGCTTTGGAAACCAAAACTATGCTGGGCATCTTACTGGCTTTTTCCTCTATGGTTTCAAGAACCTAAAAACTATTAGAGCAGTAACCCAAGGTTATTATACTCTGTGCTACAGTTGCTCAGTTGTGCCTGACTCTTTGCGATCCCATGGACTGTAGCCTGCCAGGCTTCTCTGTCCATGGGATTTCCTAGGCAAGAATACTGGAATGGGTTGCCATTTCCTCCTCCAGGGCAAATCCTTCTAGCACTCAAGGAAAAAAAAAAATTTTTTTTTTTCTGTCTTAAATCTCTAGTAAGCTGATCTCAAAAGGATATTAACTTGATATGTTCCATAATCAACACTGTAAAGCCAGTGTCAATTTCCAAACAACAAATGCCAGTAATTTTGGTTCAACTTTGATATAAACTTTCTTCTTTTTGGCCACACCATGGGATCTCAGTTCCCCAGCCAGGGACTGCACCCAGGCCATTTACCTAGTCCTAACCACTGAACTGCCAGGGAATTCCTGTCTTCCTATTTGAAGCATTTGTTATTTTCTGAAGGATACAATGTTTTGTTCTTTTGCTAATCTGTATAATAATACACCTAAGAAAACAATCACACATCTTTAGTTCTCAATCTGCCTACAATATTTAGGATTCCCTCCTAGTTTAGTCAGTAAAGAATCTGCCTGCACTGCAGGCAGATTGAACCCAGGAGACCAGGGTTCAATTCCTGGGTGGGAAAGAACCCCTGGAGAAGGAAATGGCAGCATACTCCAGTATTCTTGCCTGGAGAATCCCATGAACAGAGAAGCCTGGTGGGCTACAGTCATGGGGTTACAAGAGTCGGACACAACTTAGTGACTAAACCACTACCACATCGTTTATGTCAACACTATGCTTTACAGTTTATCATATCCTTCACTCTCACTGATTAAACAAAATACTTATGCAGCACCAATTATATACAACTGAGGTTTTAATGGTCACAGGCTTTCATTTCCATTCTCAAGCTCTTATGTCTGGTCACTTGTTTTTATGATAACCCTGGGAGAGTGACAAGGGTATCACCTTGTTATCCCCATTTTTGCAGGTGAACAAATAAGCTCAAAAGTTTAAGTGCTTACTTTTCTCAAGGTCAGATACCTTGTAAGACAAACTTGGAGCCAAGATTCCTTATGCTTAATCTAGATGCTAGATGCTATTATAAGAGACTACCTATTTGAGGTGAATTTCACTTGACACTTAATTTTCTTCTCCACTTTTCAATGATCCTTAAGTTGCTTTGATGTTCTTTTCTGTCTCTCCCACATGAAGCAGAAACCATGTCTTTTATTTTTTTCCTGATTTTAAGTATACAGAAAGCAGTCTGATGTAACTGCTATTTAAAAAAAAAAACAAACCACCACCACATAAATTACCCATGCTGAATGCAGAAATAACCCATGTTAAAAGGAGGACTCATCATATTTCCAAGTAGAGTTGATATTCAGGCCATATATGCCCTATTGTATCAGTGTGAAAATATTTAAGTACTCTTGGACAACACTTTTCTTCCGAGCTTTCTGAGAGGCATCCTCCCTAGTCCCTTAGATCCAGAGATCTATCTAGTGTCAATAGCTGGCACAGCAGACAGCCTCCAGGACCCTGCTCCAGAGGTGTGGCCTAACAGGTCAGTGGCTGTGCTTTATCAGTTGACAGGTATTTTTAATAACACATCTGCTTTGGGGGTTCCCTGGTGGCTTAGATGGTAAAGAATCTGCCTGCAATGTGGGAGACCTAGGTTTGATCCCTGGGTCAGGAAGATTCCTTGGAGAAGGGAATGGCTACCCACTCCAGGATTCTTGCCGGAGAATTCCATGGACGGAGGTGGCTGGCGGATTGTGACCCATGGGGTCACAAAGAGTTGGACACAACTGAGTGACTAACACTTTCACACTTCACTTTCATATCTGCTTTCAGAAAGGATCCTGGGATATAGGCAAGCCATTCTGAACTCTCCAGGCTAAGTACTCTGTAGTATAAAGACATATCTTAGTATACCAGCACTGGCTTGTTTCCTACTGATGTAATTAAGAGGGGGAGGGGGAAAACCCTTATTGTTAACATTTTATTCACAGGTGAGTGTGAGTACTTGGTTTATCAAATCCTTTTTAGTAAAAGTTACCTGAAAGGATGGCTTTGCAGGAAGCGGGTGTGGAGGAGTTAGATCCAGAGCATGTAGGAGAAGTAGTATCTGGAGATGTCAACTTCTAGAGCCTAGAGCAGAGTGCTAAGAGAGAAGGCAGCAGAAGGCAGATTTAGGAAGTTGCCTTTTAATATCTTTGACCTATCACGAAACTTGTGCTCTTAATATTACTCTTAAACCAAATGAACTTTTTTCAAGAGATATGAGGACAGAGAAATAAAGCTCATCTCACCATATTAATGAATGGACTAAGTACCAAAATTTGAGGGAGAAAACTTACAAGTATTTTAGTTGAATAAAACCATTATAATGGCCATTAAAATGACGGGAAATATGGTGCTCATTCTGAAAGGAAGCTTCAGCATCACTGGATTTACAGAAGAGGAGGCAGCAAAAATGCACATATGGAGGTGAAATAACATTGTAAACTTAACCTACATTAAATACCATAAAAGTAAACAGAGTCAAAAGACAGCATTATTTACATGTAACTGAGAAGAAAGGGAATATTACAGTTAAACTTTTCCATAACTTGTAATGTTTATGTTAGCAAAAGCCTTAGAGTTTGTGTAAAATGACTGTGTGCCTTAATCCCACCCACCACTAGATTAAATAAGACAGTGAAACTGAGACTGATTCCTTCCTGATCTTACAGCTTTATTCGTGATATCCCTCTAAAAAGAGACCAAAATGATTGTGAAGATGACTCATACCTATAGAGTAATTACAAAGTTCCACATTCACATAACAACAAAAGCCAAATGAAATATACTACAATTGTTTTAGCTTTCAATTACTTCTGTGTATAATACATCATAAGTAGGCATAGTGGTGCGTTTAGGAGCTGATTGTACTCCCTGTGTAAAATTTTAGGAATGCGCACATACGAGTGTAGGTATACTTCCTTCTAATTACAAATTAAAAGCAAGCATTTTCTATATAAAATTTTTATTTCTGTGTAAAACAAAGACAACTCCTGAAGGTCTAAAAAGGAAAATTATATACAACATTCAAAGCACTATTAAGTCATGAAACAAAGACGAATCTGAGGTAGAAGTCAAGCAATATAACCCACAACCTTTTTAGGGGAGTATTTATTTCCAGCAACCATCATGCCTCTCCAGTAAGATCTAATTTTTTAAAAGTTCCAAGTTCCAAAAAATTAATAATCCATTTTCTATAATCAGATGTAAAACTATGACCAACAAAAGATACGACGTAAACTTTTGTCATGTTAACAAAGTAAATAATTTTACTAAAAGTTGCTGACACTTCTATCAGTAGTAGCCATAGGGAGGCCGTTGGTTGTAACCATAGTGTCCATATTGATGAGGGTAGTAAGGTTCTTGTCTGTGCTGTGGGTAATTGTTACCCCAGGATCGTCCATGCCATTGATTGGATCGATTGTCACTTGGCCACCCCCGTCTGCTATCCCTACCTCTAAATTGTCTGTTATCTTGCAACCTACAACAACAAAACAGAAAGATTTTTTATACTTCCCTTAAAAAAAAAAAACATGAGAAATCTATCCTGGTGCATTTCATTTCTCAATCTAATACTCAGTAAACAAAAGAGTAAAAACCAGTTTTCTTTACAGAGTGTTACTACACCAGGTATTCAAAACTTTCCTAAAATTCAGATCCAGTATTATATTGGATATACTTTGCAGAGAAGAGGTAAACAATAACACCAAACTCAAAACAATAGGATGGTTCTGAAGCAAACTAAACCCATTCAATTGTTCAAAAGCATTATGGTAATATTCCTCTTATCTATTTTGAGATATTAAATGGAAGTAATTTCCATTGTATAAACTTCTTTCTAAATGGAAACCAAAACGATACCTTCTTTATGGAATTTGATGTCAACTTTTTATAGAAGACCCTAGGTTTTTAAAAAATCTTTGCAAAGAAAAACTAGTCCAGAGAAAGAATATTTAAAAAAAAAAACCATTAAAATACACACATACACACAACTGCACAGCAAGGGGGAAAAAAATATGGTGCTGACAAAATATTAAAGCAAATATTTATCAGGCACTTAAGCAGTTACTAGGCACTCAGTATAGCACACTGAACAAAAACACTGATGCCTGCCCTCACGGGCCTCGTGGGCTAGATGATTTGAGCTGTCCTCTCCCAGATCAGCCATCTGCATTTACTCTTCTGAAGTAATACATACCGATTGCCTCTATTTCTCAGGCTGCCACCAGCTCTGCTATTCCATTCCTCAACAATTGGAGGAGACTCAGGAGGGCGTTTTAGGTATTCTTGGTACTCTTTGTCATCTTCTGTGAATCTACTGGCAAACATCTCTTCAAAATTTGGAACAGCTTCAGAAGTGTCAGCCATTCTGAGATTCTGTACAGGTTTTTAATATGCTTCTATTAGAATTTTTTTTTAAAGTAACACCGTCTTTACCAGATGGTGAGAAACTAGGAAGTAAACACTTTTAGGCAGAGTATGCATAAAGTCCTTGTGTACCTTTAAAACTAAGACAGGCTAGATTCAACTCAGTATTTCTTCATTACTGTAATAGAGGCACTGTGCTAACTAGGAGCCTGGGATACAAAGAGAACAATATATCATGAACCTTGCCCACAAAGAGCTCTCAGTCTAGTAGAATAGACAGATGTGGTATAAATACAAAGGGAGGAGCAGCAAATGTCAAGAAATGAAGCTGTGAAAGTGGGCAAGAGTCAAATAGTCAAACACCTTGTATTTAATGTAAACAATTCTGCTTTTTCTGAGGCAATGGAGTGGTTTAAGCAGGGAAGTCTCAAGAGCAAATTTACCATTTAGAAGGATCACTTTTCTATTAATAATACGGTAGAGAACAGATTGGTGAGTTTAAGGGCAGATTGCTGCAGTGACACAGGTGACATGCTGAGGATTTAATCTGAGGCACTGGACTGTGAAAATAGTTTTAAAAGAATTCCAAGAGGAATCAGTCACTGAGTAGATGTTGTGAAGAGAGGAGGGGATAAAGGATAACACGTAGGTTTCTGGCCAAATAATTGGTCAGGTAATGGTATCACAGGAACTAGAGAATGAAGGTGGGTGAAGATCCATGCTGAGGTAAGTTAGTTATGGTATGTATATCCACATGAAGAGTCAGTTCACAGTTTAACTATCTGGGACGGAGAACTGGGTGGACAATGAATGCGATGGGAGACATCAATTTTGCTGGTGGATAATGCTGTGAGAAAGAATGAGACTCCTCAGGAAGGCTATGGAAAAAGAATATCAAAAAACAGAATCCTAGAGAACAGCAGCATATAAAGAAGATAAAGAAGGGATAAGAGGAGAACCAAAAGAGATTATCATAGAAGGCAAGAGATTAAAGAGTGAAAGGTCATCAGTGTTTAATAGTAACTGGAAAGAACCAAGAAGTTTAATTCGATTTAGCCATTAGGAGCTGATTAGAGTAGCAGGGATTAAAGCAGGACTACAATTAATTAAGAAGTAATTTGAAGGTAAGGAAATAGAAATCTACACAGATTAGTTTATACTAAGCTTTCAAGAGGCCTGGCTGTAGACAGGAGAAGACACAGAGGGCAGCGGCTAAGGGGTTACTGGAGGATTATCTTTTTTTTTTTTTTTTAGATTATCTCTTTTTTTCCCCTGACTAAAACACCTGAGGGTTGGTGATAGGAAAATAAAAGAAGAGCCAAGAAAGAAAGAAAAAGACTGAAAATACAGTAAAGACATGAAAATGGAAAGACAAATTTAAAAAGCCTTTAAACACACAGCTATTAAAGTCGAGGGTAATTACTATAGAATGGTATCTAATATATTCTTTCTTTTTTTCTCTAATACATTCTTATACTAGGTGTTCTGACACATGAAAAGTACTATAAATATTTTCTAGTGGCTATGAAAACGGACATTTTTTTTCAGCTGAGTTTTCCAGGGCAATTATGGATTCACATTTGAAGCAGTATTTACCCAAATTTTCAGAGAGCCCCCTACCTCTGAGAAAAGATTTGACTTAGGCTGCAGAACGCCTAATCCCTGAGGAACCAGAGAAAAAAGAGTTCATTTCTTTTCATCTTCACCCAAGACCTGGAAGCCAGCCCTGGAAGTATTTTGGAGGTAGCCCCCAGTGCCCTGGGGCTTCCCTGATAGCTCAGCTGGTAAAGAGTCCACCTGCAATGCAGGATACCCCGGTTCGATTCCTGGGTCAGGAAGATCCCTTGGAGAAGGGAAAGACTACCCACTCCAATATTCTAGCCTGGAGAATTCCATGGACTATACAGTCAGACAAAGAGTCAGACAGGACTGAGCAACTTTCACTTTCACTTCACCTAATGCCCAGTCCTTCCTTGATGCAGTCCCATCCCCTAGCTTTCCTAACCTAAACCCTATCTTTCTGTTCTTTGCCTCAAGAATTGTTTTATGATGTGGGGCATATGTGACATCATGTTAAAACTTTAAAAGCAAATCTCTCTTATCTGACATCCTAGAATTATTTTTCTTCCTTTATCAATTCAGATTATAATAAAAAGCTTTTGTCAAAGAGATGTGATATTAGAAGACAGCTTTTTCATTAGTTTATCTTTCCTCCAAATCCCTCAAAACTCATGCGAATATTTATACTACTACTGTTGTCCCAACGAAATTAAACAAAATTATTTGGATTAAAGAAACAGTATCTAGATGTTTTAACTTCTAGACATTAGAGTATGTCTTATTAAATACCAATGTGTCTGACATTGGCAAACAGCTGTCAAATTCTCAAATCCAAGGTATAGTTTAAAATAGATTCAGCAAGTTAAAACCGTGCCTCAATTTCTATAGGAATCACAGGAATCACTAGAAAGATGACTCAAACCTAAAGAGAGGGGTGATAAAAATCATAAGGCAAGGCAAATGTGCTACTGTATTTTTATGTTCTCCCAGGATCCCCCTCCCATAAATAAGCAAATGTTTATCACCTTTATCATTATTGGTGAGGATGAAACTTAAATAGGATTTTCATTGATCCATGCTTTACTCACCTCAGGGGTTTGAAGCGGCTGTTCTGTTTAATGTTTAGATTGTGTAGATCTGTGGGAAGAAAAAACTTGACTCCCTTGAAAGAAATCCTCAAAAGGTGTGTGCCGCGGGGACGGGAACCGTAAGGATCTTAAGTTAATTAAGTGGTAGGATTAAAAGACTTCCGACGCTAATCTTAAAGAGGGAATTGGAGCTGAAAGTGCTACCGAAGAGCTAGAAGATGCTACAAGACGAGTCCTCTGGGCCTTCAAAATCAATTCGAGCGTGAATAAAACTTGACAAAGTGTATTCTTTTCTGTTAAAAAAACCCACCACCACCACAACAAAGTACAGATGTGTACTCGAGACGGCTAGTTTCCAGGCCCTAAATAAAACCACAGGGAACTTTCCCTGTGGGTCACTAACCTCGGAAAGGACTACCCAGAATGGGTAGTCATGCCCTGAGAGATGAACCCAGAGAATTAATCGACGAAGACATCGACTGAGAACCGCTGCGTTTCTCAGTTCTCTCTCGCAGCTTTGACTGTTGGACTCCTGTTAAAGCACCTCGGCCCCAGGTGCAAAGGAAATTAGAGGCCGTGAGGGGGAAGCGGCTTCTGGTTTCGCCAAAAATCCGGTCTCAAAACTGCAGAGCCCGAGGACACCTTCCCGCCACTCAGTTCGGCCTACCGGCCCGACTCCCTCCCCTCTGCAGCCAGAACAAACGACTCCTCCGCCCAGGACTGTGTCTATCCAGCTCAGGGCTCCGGATGAGCAAGCAAACCTACCTCCGGTCCAGGGCGCTGGCACAGGACCTCTGTATGCAAGCCTCCACCTCTCCCAGGTAACAGCGCCACTTCGGCCAGAATTCGACCGCCTCCTGACTTCCGCTTCCGGCGCGCTGAGGCCGAGGCAGGCCTGTGAAGTCTCGCGGGATCTCCGGCTCTCTGTGTATTTTCCGCAGTTTTTTCGAAGATGTAGCTGGCTCGCGCGGGGCTCTGCGAGGGTAGTTAGGTCGGACTAGAAGTGTTGATGCTTTCCGTGCGCTTCCAACCGGCCTGGTGACTGGCAGGAAGAGACGCATCGCTGTATTTTGAGCCCCCTTAATTTGGAGCCGGCGACGGCTAGGGACGAAAGTTCTGGAACTTCTTAGCTGAGAAGGGCGGGAAAAGCTGCTTTCGGCCGCCGGCGCCGAGTCTGCGTGAGGAACTTGAAGCGACTGCCGGCCGCAGAGTAGGCCCGAGGGGATCCCTTCAGCGATGCTACAGCTTTCACTCCTGTTCCGGCGAACCTCAGTAGTAAGATTTCTCTAGTCCGTTTTGTACCTGTTTTTGCCGAAACACGGCCCCGCTCTGCTCCAGCTTAAGTCGTCAGTACCCAGCTCACTTCAGGAGTCTTGTCCGTTTCTTCTGGAATGTTCGTAGGTGTATAAACGCTGACTGTTCCGCAATGTATTTTGGCCTCCTTCGTCCCGAATTGCTTTCCAGAGTGGCTCCCTCATTTCCTTAATACTCTTATGAGTTTCCAGCTTGGAAACATCAATGTTTCTATTTGATGCCATTTCTGTTTTCCCCGTTGATACTGACCAGCGTTCTTGGCCTTTCTCAATCAATAGAAATTGACTAGAGACAAGAAATTCAGGGGAGTCTCTGTAGAGGCTCATGTCTCTATCTTGGGATGTTGAAATTCTATTCTTTAATTAAAGGTGAATGAAATAGTAGCTCCATCTAGAAATAAGTTTTCCTTCTACTGAATTTTCATTATGCTCTGGAACCATTCTTAATCTGTTCATTAAGTACTAGTTTCTCGGTTGGAACTAAAATTATTTTTGTACAAGTCTTTTTTCCCTACTAGACCATAATCATTCATTTCTTCATCCTGAGTGTGTAATGTAGTGTACTGTATAAAATAAGCACTCAGTGTTTGTGGAATGAATGATGAACTGTGAATGTCCCAATCCACGTTTTACAGACACTATCCTGGCTTAAGTATGAAAGAGTATGGATGGGGAGATAGGATAGTCTTGGTGTTGGGTAATAAAGGTGAGAACAGAAAGACCAAGATTACAATAACTGAGTGGTATAGTAGCCAAGTGGATGATGGGAGAAAAGGATCAGGAGGAATCAGAAAAGACTCCAGTTCTTAAGTCTTGGAAATTGTAACTGAGAAGGGATGTGCATAGCATGTGTTGGTTTTAAAACAAAAATGAGCTCAGAGCTCAAAAAAGATTTGTAGAATTTGAGATAGTAGTGAAATATTCAGGAGAAAAATCTTAGGAGGGTTTTAGAAATACATGACTAAAGCTGTTGAAAGAGAGGCTGTACCTAAATAGGTAAATGTGTGAGTCGTCTGTGAAGAAACAACAGTTGAAAACATCAGTGTTTATGATCTTTCCGAAGGAGAAAGGATTTATAGAGAAAAGCAGAAGGCCAAAATCTACAGCTCAGGAAATAACCCATATTTAGGAAGAGGGAATAGGAAATAAATAAACTTGAAGGGGAAATTGGAATAAAGATGAGTAGCAGTGTAACAGTTGAAAAACTCAGGCAAATGCTTGCCTGGTTGGTATCAGCAGTCAGAGACGATATTTGGGAAATCAGTTTTTGAGTTCAGCTTTCTGATTTCCTTGTGACTTTATTATAGTGTTATTTCTAGGTAATGAGAACTTACATAGAAAAGAGTATATTTCTTTTCTTTAAATTCCAAAACTGCAGTTAGGAGCTCCTAGGCTTCAGAGAGTTTCTGTGAAAAATGGGATACCAGCCAATTTTCAAATGAAACTATTTATGCACATAATATTTTCTCATATTCTGATATCTTGTCGGTTACTATATTTCACTTTCTGGCATCACTGAGAAATAATCTGTTCCATGAAAGGGAATTTTCCAGATAACTGACAGCCTTTAAGCAACAAAACTTGTTCACTGGAACCACTTTTCTAGAAATGTACATAAAATATAGTACTTAATTCTGTACCGTAACCAGAGTAAGTGGGCCTTAATTTAATCTTTGCTTGGCAGTTAAGGATAATTGTTACAGCATCAGCTGCTTGCCCAGTCGCTCAGTGGTAAAGAATCCACCTGCCAGTGCAAGAGGTAAGAGTTCAATCCCTCAGTCATGGAAGGTCCTATGTAGAAGAAATAGCAACCCACTCCAGTATCCTTGCCTAGAAAAATCCCAGTGGTCAGAGGAGCCTGACTGCAGTCCATGGAGTCACAGAGTCAGGCATGACTTAACAACAAAATAACAACAGTAATAACAATTATATTCTGTTGGGTAGTAATGTGTTTTGGGCCTGTTAATACATATGGAAAAAAATTACCTTTTATTAGTCGACTTTGCTGTTTCTGTTATTACTGTTGTAGCTCAGTGTTTTATCTTCTCATAGCTTTATAGAGTGACCTAATTTGAAGCCTCACTTTGACCCAGAGATCTAGAGGCAAACACTCTAGCAGAAGTCCCAGGGGGAATCGTAGCAGCAAAGAGTTTTGAGGCTGTGAGTGAATTTAAGACAATAATCATTTCTAAAATGATTAAACTGGAGCTGAAGTGGCTGTATAATTTATTCAAAGGAACAGCCAGTAAGTGGCAGAACAGGATTTGGATCAAGTCTGTGATACTTAAGGCTGCCTTGCTTTTTCCTCAGTGAAACACTGTTTTCTCCTTTTCATTCTCTACTGTACAAGTCTTGAGCCACATTAAACAACTCTGCTGCTGCAGCACAACCCAGACTCTTCCTCTCCACAGTTGATGTGGAGCTCCAGAAAGCAGGAACTCCTGAAACCTCCCCACCAAAAAGTGAACTCCACATGGCACCTGTTTCCTCACACTGCTTACCTTAAAAATATGTATTTCTCTTGAAATTGTATTTCATAAGCAGAACCCAAGTCAAATGACTTGTTCCTGGCTCAAAGGAAGACTGGGCCAGTGAACTTCTAGTATCATCTTTGGAGAGATAGTGCTCATCAGGTAGTAAATTGTCTGAGCAGAAAGATATTCGAAAAATGCTGGGCAGCCCAGAAATGTGACATTTATCCACTTTAGCTTAATCACATTTTGCCTTGTATTATGGTTCATTTTATATATAAAATCACAATATTGAAGTGGTGAAAGGATCATCTGGTTGAATGCTTTTTTTTCCTCTTAATAAACACCCCCAAGAGATTAAATGACTTTTCCAAGGTTGTAGAATTGATCAATGACAGAACTAGACCTATAACCTACAGGCATTCTTCATTAGTTTGACATCTTTTTGAGTGTTAGATGCCAGGTACTGTTCTAGGCCCTGAAAACATCAAGGAATAAGGATAAAAACCCTGCCCTCATGGAGCTTCTATTTCTAGTGGGGGAGATAGACAAAAAAATGAATATGTATGTACTATGGAGAGTAATTGAGCAGAGTAAGAGCACAGAGCATCATAACAGGGTGCTGCTTTGGTTAGCATGGTCAGGAAATGTGTGCATGATAGTTTTCATCTCAGCCTATTTCCTTATATGGTGGAGTCCCTCTTTTCTCTCCTATTATGAATGTAAAAATTGAATACTTTATTTTTAACATCCATACCATACACAAGGGAGTAAAAGAATATCTCTCTCATTTCTGAGACAAGGCAGATTTGCTGAGTTTGTAGTTTCATAGACTTGTGCCCAGTGGCACAATTTAACTTCTATTTCTATAGCTTGAGTTGGAATTACAGGCTCCTAAATGTTCTTTCATCTTTATATTGTGTTATTCAAACCATTTCCCCCTTTCCACCCCACCCACTCTGCCGCATCACACACACACTAGAGCACAAGTGTTGAACTTATTAAGTTCCTAAAAGAGAATTTTAAAATGATAATCTTCCACTCATTTTTTCTGACCTACAAAAAATCTCATCATGTTTCTCTGCTCTGATTTTATCTTTTGCAAAATGGGAATAATAATCCTTGCTGATTGTCTGCTTTATAAGATATTGTAAGAATTAATCATTGCATATATAAAGCACTTTAGGCTCCAATGAAGAAAGATGCTATGTAAATTATAATGATAAAGTTATTATATGTTACATAAAGGTTTAATCTCCAAGAGGGAAACATTTCAAGTTATAGGAGGTATTGGTTTAGATCCACATTTGTACTCCTGTGGCTTTAATTACATGGAATGATTTTGATCAGAGATTACAGGATTTTAACCCAATTATCCACCTCAGGGTCAGCCTCCCACATCCAGAGTCCTTTGTCTAGGGGCCTTTATTCAGGACACTGCAGAAAGCAAGCCAGTGCTTGTTGCAAGTTTTGTTTGCTATCTGAGTATTTCTGTTTACCCTAGAAGCCAGTTAATATTGTTAAAGAAATCACAGAAGAAGGAGAGTTCTGTCTTCTTGGGGAAGACAGAACTATGAATTGGTCCTAATAGGTTGGACTTAAATCTTTTCCAATTCTAAAGTGTGTGATTGTGATATGAAGGTGTTTTTTTTTCTCCTTTTCCCTAATGTTATATGAGTTAAGGACACAAGCTATGTTTTCCAAGTAGACATAATTTGGAAAAGTTGCTTAGTGTCTGTCAATTTCTATTCCATTTGACAGGCCCCTCCATGGCTAAATGATGGATCTAATTTTCATTATCCTTCCTGTGTATTTTTGTTGCCTCTTTTCTCTGTGGGCTCCACTGGCTAGCTCTAGTCATCAGTGCTTGGTCCTGTCCACCTCTTCCTCAGATGTGTGTGTTATCCTTAGAAAGGACCTTGGAAGTGTGTGGAGAGGCCAAGAGGCTTGTCCACAGTTTACTATCAGCCACTCCTTCCCCTATAACACCATACTCTCCCTCCAGGTACTTTTCTAGAATGTTTTCCAGTGAAGTGATGCTCATAGTTTAAGTGTTCAATGCATTTTCCAAGCACTGGAAAGTGACATGAGTAAGTCAGGATCTCTGTCTGAGGGTGAACTGCTGCTATCTTACCCATTAAAAAAAATTTTTTTTTAATATTTATTTATTTGGCTGTGCTGGGTCTTCATTGAGGCACATGGGATCTTTAGTTGTGGCATACAGACTCTTTAATTGCAGCATATAGGATCTAGCTCCCTGACCAGGGATTGAACCCAGGCCCCCTGCATTGGGAGTGTGGAGTCCTAGCCACGGGACCTCCAGGAAAGTCCCTTACTTCAAGAGGGCAAATCCTTCAGGTCCCATTCCTGGCTTTTGGCAGGCTCACTGTCCTTGGTGACAGGTGGCATAATCTTCCATTTTGTGAAGCCAGCCTTGCCTGGTCATCTTTCAAAAGAAAGGTACAAAAAAGCCCCATTTTCAAACAGATATTGAGGCAATGCAAATGTCTTCAAAACAAGTGAGTATATTCTAGGGAGTAGAAAGAGGACCAGGCAAGGAGTCAAGAAACTTGACTAAATCAAACTATTACTCTCTGGATTATCATGCAGATCACCACTTCTCTGGGCCTTGGTTTTCTCATTTTCTTATTTTGCAGATAATATTAAAGCTTCAATATCAATTCCCTTGATTTCCCAATCTCACAAGGAAAGACCTCTGCTGCAGGGTGACCTCTTTCTGCCTCCTTTCACCTTTTGTCTTCCAGTCTCTTGCTGCTGTGTCTTTGATCAGTGTCCCCTCAGCTCTGCTGAACATCACTCCTGTACTTACTCCTTTTCTTCTCTGTTTTCAACTCTCCTTCTGTAATGGCTCCTCCCCCCCACCCCTACACCGTGTAAACTTGCTCAAGTTTCTCCAGTCTCAAAACAAAACTGATACCCTGTCTCAGCCCTGTGTCCTCCTATAAAGATCTTGGATCTCCTTTCCCTCTCATGGGGAGCATCTTACAGAGTGCCCACAGCCTCAGCATTTTACCCTCTCCCTCTTTTCTGTTCACTGCAGTCAGGTTTCTGCCCACAGACACACCACTGAAGCCACACTGGCAAAGTTCCCCAGACAAAGTTGACCTAGGGCCAAGTTCAGCTGCCATTGGTTTAAAGTCTTCAGTTTATTTAATATCTGGGAAGCATTTGACGCTTTTATCTCCTCCCTCCCTTAAACCTTCTTCTCACTCTGTTTTCAGATTTCTCATGATTTTTCTGTGCCCTGGATTGCTATTTCTTTCTCCTTGGCTGACCCCTCATTCCCCTGCCCATGGCCCTGACTCTGTTCTCCTGGTGTTGCCCTTGAATACTCAGGCTCTTCTATGACTTCAGCTTCCCGCTCTGTGCTGATGACTCAACAATGGATATCCCCAGACATCCATCATATCTGAGCTCTAGACTTGAAAGTATTGCTGCATGCTAGAAATTTCTATCTGATGTCCAGCAGACATCTCTAGCATGTATCTTAATGTGAATTCATCTTTCTTCCTGAAACTGTTCATCTGTCTCTATCTCTGTTTTCAGAGAATGATTCTTTCCAGTTACCCACATCAGAAACCTGGAAGTCACCCAGGACTCCTTCTTCTCTCCCATCCTACCCACCTAGGCCCTTCCCATGTCCTGTGGACTTCAGCTCCTGGCCATCTCTTCTATTTATTCACTCTCCTTTTCTTCCCATCATTCTCTTTGTTCTGACCCTCATCCCTTCTCATGCAGACCAGGTGATGGCCTCTAACGGGTTCCCATATACAGTCAGTGCATTTATCGCAATGCATTGTAATTTGTTTATGTGCACTTAAATGATAAGCTCCTTGAGAGGAAGTCTGTATCTTTCATGCCTTTAGCAATTAACATAGAGTCCGGCAGTCCATATATGAACATTATATGAATCATGTTTAATAAATGTTTATTGATCTTGCCCCTGCCTTCTTCTCCATTGTATGTTAGACTAATCTTTTCCTACTCCCTCCCCTCTTAGTACACACTCTGCCTAGGTGAAGACTCAGCTCACCTCCTGAGCATAGCACATGTTCCTCAGACACCCATTTGTCATGGTACTTACATCACCTCATTGAGTCTGTTTTCATGTCCATCTTCCCTGTGAGTATCAGTGCTGGAGTCTCTGCCTTGCCAACACCTAACCCCGGGACTGACACACACGAGGCAGTGAAGAAGCCTTGCGACTATATGAATGAAAGAGTTAGACTTGCTGAGCTTCAAGTTCTCCTCCAATTCCAAACCTATACGGTTTGATATAAAAACTGACATAATCTCAAAGTTTTTTCCCAGCAGATGGTCAGAACAGTCAAAACACCAATTCAAACAGTTGGCAAATATAAAGGTAAACATTTAAGAAAGTGAGTCAGAATGAAGGTGAATCCTCCAAAAGGAGTGAGAACATTGGCACAACAGTGTCTCCATGTAGTCACAAGCACCCCCTTTGCATCTGATGGTGGGTTCCATATGTTCCTCTCAAGGCGTGTGACACATATGCCTTGAGAGCTTCTCAGGAGGGTGGGTGACAAGCTACTGATGACTAAACCCCCACTGGCTAGAAATGAGCTGAAAGCGTGTTGTTTTTCTGGAACAAAAATTAGTTTTTTTCTTCAGCATTTTAATTTGCTCATTTTTGTAAACTAAACACAAACTTTAGTCATTTATTTAATATTCTGTTCAGTTAAAACTCTAGGAAAAATCCCTAATCTAAAGACTCTTAAGATTTGCAACTTATTTTGCACTCCACAAGCATTTATTAATACCCAATATATATTTCTAGGCTCAATGTTGGGGGAGTGAAAAGATTTTTTTAAATGTAAAATACAAATCTTAAGATCTAATTGAAGAATCAAGCAGAGGATAGGTAGGATGTAGATAAGCATAATGTAGAAGAGTGCATCGTAACCTGATGGAGTACAGGAAAAGGTAATTCCAACTGGATATCCAAGTACGAGAGGCCTCAGAGTGGAGACACTATCAACTCAAGGGGAAATCAACCAGGAGAAATTTACTGAAGGTGGTGAATCTCCAATAAGCACATAAACACACAGAGTATATAGATTGCTGGCAGTAGCACCTGTGTGTAATTTGGATTTGAGGGGTAGAGAGGATGGAAACTGGCCATCCTTCTGTTGAATGCTCTTCTGAGACTGCTTCATCTCCCCCCTTCAGGCCGCCTCGTACTTCTCTCTCCCAAGTTCCCTCAGGGGACCCCTGACCCACTGTCGTATTTGGGGTATGAGTTGTGATCCTGGCTCACTTGGGGTATGAGTTGTGATCCTGGCTCACTTGGGGAAATGCACGTTTCCCTTCAGAATTTTGCATATTCCACTTAGACATTGTCAAGGACTAACTGTTTTCCCCAGGGCAAGCAGGAGTCGGCCCCCACCCACAGGTGGGTGGGCATCTCCACAGAAGTCGTCAGCATCTGCAGATGGGGAGGGTGTTGACTTTAGATGCAGACCAACCTGAGTGACTTTACCCAAGAGAGAGGTTCAGTTTCCTGATTTCTGAAATGCAATTATGATAATCATTTCCACCACCTACAATGTAAGAATGAACAAATGTCATTTTTTCATCACTTTTCCAGACCAAAGGAGAACACTCTGACTTGGCTGGTTTGAATAGTAGGAAGAGGTTCCGATGCAAACATTTCACGATAGTCCTGTGAAAACAGCCCTGTCAAAATGTGGGCACCTCCACGGCTGCTAGTTAGTGAGCATTTACTACAGGCCAGCCAGCTGGGCAACACTTATATGTTACCTCGTTTTATCCTCACAATAACATACCAAGGTAGATATCTCTTTTTTAAAATTTTTATTACATATTTATTTTTTTGCTGTGTAGCTTGTGAGGTCTTAGTTCCCCTACCAGGAATTGAATCTGTGTTCCCTGCAGTGGAAGCACAGTGTCTTAACCAATGGCCCACCAGGGAAGTCCCTATCATCATCTTCTTTTTTTTTTTTTTAAAGCAAGGCTTAGAGATGACAGGTAATTTGTCCAAGGCTACACAAGCAAACAAGAAATGAGTTGACCTCAACTCTTCTGTTTCCATAGAAGGGACACCAGAAGACCTGAAGAACAACATGTTTGAGCTGGAGTGTTTTTTTTTTTTTTGAGAAGTAGCTGTGTGACAGGCTCTGTGAGGAGAGAGTAGAATGCAGATGTTCTGTGGCATCAAAAGTTGCTAAAAGTCGTATCGTTGCTAACAGTCATGAATCGTACTCTTACAAAAAGTGACTCTTGTGGTATGTCAATTACATGGAGGGGTGAGGGGAGAGGAAGAGAAATGAGGACAGCAGCTTTGAACCAGCTTGAATCTATGGCTAGCACTTCAGTGAAGACCTGGAGTAACTGGCCATGGAGCACAGAAGAGAAGATTTTGACCTAGACAATGTTAAGAGTAGGAGTGAATAATTAAAATCTCTGTGTCCAAATACCTAACTCTGGGTAATCTGCCTGCTTGACATACTCCTGGGAAAGGTGACAATCCTGACATGAATAATGGCTGTGGAGAAACAGCTGGTTCTCTGTTGCCCTTGTATCAGTCCTCCTCTTCTTCCGCAGAAGAGAGTGGGTTTTCAGGCACTCGTTCATACCTGCACTGACAGAGTCAGAGTTTAACAGCAAGAGCCATCAGTTTTTGATTCCAGGAATGCTTTACAGTCTATTTGAATTTTAAAATAAATTCCAAACAGCAAGTTGTTGCATTTAAACTGTCAGGTGTAGGCTGGCTAGCCCCCCAGGCTCAGGATTCTTGGTGCCAGGATTACTGACATTTATTTAAAAATGGTGTCAAAGTGAAAAAAAAAAATGATACCTTTAGTGGTTTTGCCTTCCCAACAGCCTTTACCCATCCTCTCCCCCTCTCTTTCTCTCTGTATGTGTATCTGTGTCTGTTTGTCTCTCTGTCTCCTACTTTCTCTCCTCCAACCCCCTCCCTTGTCCCTCCTGCCTCTGACCACCACTTCTTCCCTCACCTAGTTCAGAATTCTTAAGAGAGGAAGGACAGGAGTCCCCAGCATTGGAAACAGGAATCGTGCCCTGCTGCCCTTTAGGAAGCTGGCACAGCAGGAGGAAGCACTTGAGCTCCCTCTTCCCTCCCAGAATGATTTTAATTACCTGCACCTGCAGTGTGATCCTGAGCCCAGGCCTCAGCCAAAAAATCCAGAAATTAGAGTTGCTTATTACCAAGGCTTGGGTCTGTTAACCAAGCTTATTTAAGCGAGCCACCATACTGGTTTCTTGTTAGATCAGATACCAGCTTTTTAATTCACAATGAGAAATACACCTTCCTTTCCATCAGTGACTCAGGGTGCCCCTTCCCCAGTGTCTCAGTATCTGGGCACCACTTGGGGCCATGAACTCTGGCCTTGCACCTCTGCATCCTGGAACACAGTTGGTGCTCCATAAATATTTGCCAGACTGAATTGAATTTTGCCAGGGATAAAATGTATGTATCTTCAGCCATTTTTAGTCAAAGAGAACCTAGAGATATTTTTACCCCACATATTAGTTTAGTCAAATGCTGTTTCTGAGCCACAAAGATCCTTGCAAACACTGCAAGTCAAGATTTATGAACTAGCCATTTTAAAAAAAATTTTTTTTTCCACACAGCTGACTTCATCATAAAGAACATTCATCTCAGGGGATTTACCTAGCGAGATATCATTCTACTTCATTTTGCGTTTCCTCTTTTCCTTTACATCCAAAATGAATGCAATAAAGGATCCCACTGTGCCCCAGGTAATAATAGCACAGGCAACTATAGACTGTCCACCGTGTCCCTGAAATAGATTCTTGGGTAGAAAGAACAACAGTGCTGTCATTTAGTGAGTGCTACGGGAAGCAAGGGTTGGAGCCGAAGACACAAAAAGATTTATGAGTCAGTGGAGTCCAATTTAGTCTTGATGGAAGTACAGGGCACATTATTAGATCCATTTCAGGGAAAATTATATTGTTGGAAAGAAGAGTCCTGTCCATTTGTCAAGCCCTGTCACTAAGGTCACTGGGGATAGGGACCTCTTCTCAGAGCCCCAAACAGGCTTTCCCTTTTCTTGGTTCTACAGACCCCATGAACTGTAGCCCACCAGGCTCCTCTGTCCGTGGAATTCTCTAGGCAAGAATACTGGAGTGAGTTGCCATTTCCTTTTCCAGGGGATTTTCCTGACTGAGGGATTGAACCCGGGTCTCCTGCATTACAGGCAGATTATATACCATCTGAGCCAGCAGGGAAGCCCCTGATTTATTAATAAATACTCCTAAAGGTTTCCATACCCATGTGACAGCTCTGTCCTCCCCTTTCCTCCAGCAGGTAGAGTTTATGATGTGAAGTTTAGGAGGTTTTGCTCAAAACTCTTGGCTGCCATGACACTACTCTCTCTGAGGTCAGTGTGTCCAGGACTCAGCCCTTGACCTCTTCTCATTCTTCATGCATGCTCTTCGTGTGAGTTGTATTTATTCCTGTGGCTTCCACTGCCACTTGTATTGCTGGTACCCTTGACCCTTAGTTATGGTGTATGGTTCTGACTGTGTTTAGACATCAGTATATTCTGTGCCCAAATCCTCTTCCATCCCTCATTGGATATCTCATATCCCTTTTCATCAGGCTGCCTGTTCAGTTCAGTTCAACATTTACTGCTTACGTTTGGCAGAGGTCTTCTGTAGTTGTCGAGGATACCGAGGTTCCATTCTATTTAAGTGAATATTCCTCTAATTTGGAGGGTTCTTTATTTTAACTATCCAGTCATTGTAGTAATCCCTGAAGTCTTAACTATCACCTACTGTTCTCTTTCTCTCCCTGCATCCTCCCTAAGGTTATTCATTAGTACAGTTTCAGTTTCATACAGGTAATTTTCAAATATCCATATCTGATTCTAGCTATCTTACCTGTCTCATTTAACGTATGCACTTAGATGTCCCTTTGTGTCCTTAAAATAAACATCTGCCGTGGCTTTGGTTTCTGAATCTCTAAAATGCAGAAGTGAATGGGGAGATAATTTAGTAAGTTGCAATGTGTCAATGCAGTACAGCTTTTTGCCTCTATTTAAAATGCTTACAAACAACTATGGATAAATACTGCTTCTCTATTCACTTTCTTAACTCCCTCAAGGAGAATCCCTTTGTTTTCTAATCAGGAAAGAAGTAAGGGAGTGAGATGATCAGTTATGTCTCGCAGGGGAAGGTGGAAGAGAGACAGCAGTTTGCTATCATCTTGCAGCCACACCTAGTGAATACCCAAAGATTTCTCAGAACCCTTCAGTTTCTTTCTCTCCTCTCCCTTCCAAGTGCATGGCTGTGACAATAGCTGCCTTGATGTTGAACCTTTAATTTGCCTTTCTCCCCTTCTCCAAACAGTACTTTTAAGACTGTGAGCTGCCTGAGAAAAGAACCATTCATTTCTGTAACCCCAAATAGTAGAAGAGCATACAGTTGTAGAAAGGAGGAGGAATGTCTTTCTGTTCTGTTATAGGATGAAAAAAAGGCTGACTGCAAATCAGCAAGTGTAGAGTACTCCATTTAGGTAAAGATGGGGGAAAAGGAACTTTCACTCTTTGAAAGGGTGTATGAGAACTGGAATGTCTTCGAAAAGGGGACTGTGCACTGGAGGAAAAATGGTGGGAGAAAAACTTTTCACTATAAACCCTTCTGTACCTTTTGAAATCTAACCCTGTTGAATTTTTTCATGATAAAAAATAAGTAAAATTTAATTTTTTAAAAATATGTTGAATGTATTTGAAGTATCCAGAATAGGCAAATATGCAGAGAGAAAGCAGATTAATGGCAGCCAGGGGCTAGGAGAAAGAGGGAATGGGGAGGGATGGCTTAGTAGGGTCTGGGCTTTCCTTTCAGAATAATAAAATTACTCTGTAACTGAATATTGGTCATAGTTACACAACATTATGAATGTACAAAATGCATTGTACACTTTAAAGTGGTTAAAGTGAATTTTGGTACAGAAACTTTACCATAATTGTATATATGTGCTAAGTTGCTTAAGTCGCTTCAGCCCATATATGTGTGTGTGTGTATATATATTAATGAGTGAATGAATGAAGTGCCTATTTATAGATTTATATTAGATATCAATGAGATATCTGTATGATCAGATATCTCTGCTTTGTGAAGTTTTCAGTGGAAAATTCAAATGTAGAACATT